AAAGCCTCCAGATTGTAAGAGAATACTCCTGTTTGTTCAAGCATCCCATTTGTGGTCTATTCCTGTCAGAGTGGCATTAGGTAACAAAAACAACAAGATGATGTTTCTAATCATTCAAAACCAGAAAACCAATCCTGTGGGGTGTTTAGATATGTCTAAGAAGTGTCCATATTTGTGCCCCTCTGTGCTTTAATGGATATACATATACCTGTATACACACACATGTGTACTTACACACACACACCTAACACATATATGCCTACATACATACACATATGTTCACACACAGTTTTTGGTTCAAAATTTCATGTCATAACAGTTACCAAGAGATCCTTTTTTTCCCCTAAATTTTATTTATTGTTGAGAATATACACAGCAAAACATACAATTCAGTAATTTCTACCTATTCAATTTTGTGACACTGATTACATTTTTTTCAAGCTAGGCAACCATTCTCATTTGCCTTTTCTGAGCTGTTCCTTCCTCGTTAACATAAATTCACTGCCCCCTAAGGTCCCTATGCAATCTTTCAAGTTGCTGTTGTCACTTTGATCCCATGTAGTTCTTAGAGGAGCACAGTACTCAAGGTTGACCTTTCTAAGAGTTAAGCTGAACTACTCAGTTTTAAGATGACTTTAGGGGATACTGTTGGCTTAAAGATGATTTCAGGGCAATAGTTTCAGGGGTTCATCCACTCTCCATGTCCCCAGAAAGTCTAGAGTCCGTGAGAATTTGACATTCTATTCTGCATTTTCCTTGTTTTGATCATGAGTCTCCTATGCAATTGTTAATCAAATGTTCAGGAATGGTAGCCTGGCACCATGCACTGCTGGTCTCATAGTAAAGGAGGCAGTTGTTCATGGAGGCAATTAGCCACACATTCCATATCTTCCTCTTATTCCTGACTTCCCTTCCTTCTCCATTGCTCCAGGTGAATAAAGACCAATTGTGCCTTAGGTGGCCAATTGTAAGCTTTTAACACTCCAGGCACTGTGCAATGAACTAGGAAGTGGAACAGAAGCACAAACACATTAGTAGGTCAATTAATTTGGATGTTACATGAAACCTTGACCCTAAACATTAAAAAAAAGAAAAAGAAAAAGAAAAAGAAAAGAAAACCTTCATGTGGTATTTGATTGTACACGGGCAGCCTCAGCAGCTACTACTTTTTTAGGGTCATTGTTGTAAATATATCTACCACACAATTTTTCCAACTCAGCTTTTTATAGGTGTTAAACTTATCGACAGCAATTACAATAATCAACTTTGCATCCCTATCCTTAATCAATGTGATTTACCCATCACTATTAACCCCTGCCCTCAGTTCTCCTCTTGCCTCTAGTGAGAACTAATAAACTGGTCACTACATTAGCATTTTCTTTTTATGTAAGTCATACATTTGTCCTTTTCTAATTGGCTTATTTCACTCAGCATAATGTCTTCACACCCCATTCATACCATAGCATGAATCAAGACTTCCTTTCTCTTACAGAGTGATGAGTATTCCTTTTTATCTAAGTACCATATTTTGTTTATCCATTCATCTTTTGATGGGTATTTCAGTTGTTTCCACCTTTTGGCTCTTGTGAAAAGTGCTCAAATGAACACTGGTGTACAAGTCTATTTTTAAGTCTCTGCTTTAAGGCTTTTTGGGTATATAACCAGAACTGGTGGGTCACTCAGTAGTTCCATTTTTACTTTTTGGTGGAATCTCACATTGTTTTCAAAAATGGCTATACCATTTTGCATTCCCACTAGCATTGGATAAAGGTTCTAATTTTCCTACATCATGGCTGACACTTGTTATTTTTCTTAGGCATCCAAGTGGGAGTGAAATAGTGTATCACTCTGGTTTTGATTTGCATTTCTCTTATGGCTAATGACGCTATCTTTTTATGTGTTTGGTGGCTATCTCAGTGTCCTCTTTGGTGAAGTGTCTTTTCAAGTGCTTTTTCCATTTCATGAAAATTTGTCATTACTAAAGAAAAAAAAAGTTATTTGGCTTTTTGTTGTTAAAATTGTCAATATTTTATATATATTCTTTTTATTACATTGTCAGATACACGGTTTCCAAAGATGTCCTCCCTACTGGTAGCTTGTCTTTTCAGGTTTTTTTTTTTTTTGTAGTCTTTTGAGAAACAAGTTTGATTTTTATAAGGTTCCATTTATTTTTCTTTTCCTGCTTGCACTTTATTAGATAACCCATTGTTGAAAGCCAAGCCAGTGTTGCCTGATTGCTCTTCTAAGAATCTTAAGGTTTTAGTTTGTACATTTAAATCCTTTATCAATTTTGCATTTGTTTTTGTGTATGGTGTGAGGCAAGAATCCTGTCTCATTTTCCTGCATGTGGAAATTCAATTTCCCCAGCATTATTTATTGAAGACATTCTTCTTTCCCCATCAAAGCCACAAAGGTCCTTTATAGTGCCATCATTTATCTCCATCAAGCTGTACATACTTTACTCTCATTCAGTATGACCTTTCCTATCACAAAAAATAGTGACTAGTATGTAAAGAGTGGATACCCCTCTTCCTACCCCTAGTCCCTAGTAACCACTGATGAACACTAGTTTATGTATATTTACCTATTCATGTCATTTCATAAAAGTGAGTACATTATTTTTGCATGTGTGTGGCTGACTTATTTCACACAATATAATGCATTCCAAGTTCATCTATGTTCTAGGATGTTTACGGAACTCGTTTTATCACTGAGGAATATTCCACTGTAGGAATACGTACACATTCATTTGCTGATGGGCATTTAGTTTTGGTTTTTTTGCTATTTTGAAGAGTGCTGTGATGAACATAGGTGTTCATGACTTTTTGTCACTTATATTAGATCCGTAGGGTATATACCAAGGTGCTCTGGTAGCACAGTGCCTAAGGCATCTGACTGCTAACAGAAGGTTGGTGGTTTCAACCCACCAGTCACTCCACAGAAACAAGATTGGACAATCCACTTCCATAAAGACGTACCACCTCAGACACCCAATAGGGGTTGCTATGAGTCAGAATTGACTTGATGGCAGTGGGTTTGGTTTTGGTAGGGTATATACCTAGGAGTACCCTCCAGCCACTCTTCAGAAGGAAGACTGGGCAATCTACTTCCATAGTGATACCAACTCGGAAACCCAAGGAGGGGTTGCTGTGAGTCAGATCCCACTCGATGGCAGGGTTTGGTTTGGTTTATACCTAGGAGTGGAATTCCTAGAGGCACATATCAGCTCTACCTCAAGTTTATGAAAAACTGCATACTGTACACAACAGCTGTACTATTTTGCATTCCCACTAGCAATGCATGAGGGTTTCAATTTCTCTACATCTCCTGACACTTGCTATTTTCTTTTTTAATCTTAGCTATCCAAATGGAGTGAAATAGTGTCTTATTCTGGTTTTGACTCACATTTCACTGATGGTTAGTGATGTTGAGTCTGTCACGTGTCTGTTGGCCATGTGAATATCCTCTTTGGTGGAGTGTCATGTTCATTGTCCAGTTTCTGAATAGTTTGTCTTTTCACTGTAAATTAGAAGTTTTCTATATATTTTAGATATTAGATCCTTATCAGTTTTTCATTTCCAAAGAATTTTTCCAAGCTGTGGGTTATCTCTTCACTCTTTTGATGAAATTTAAGTATTTAATTTTGAGGTCCCAATTATGTTTTCTGTTGCTCATGAATTCATTGTTATGCTTGATAATCTTATCATTGAAAAAAAAATTAGGTTCCAACATTTCCTTCTATATATTCTTCTTACAACTTTATGGTTTTATATTTAGGTCCTTGAGCCATTTTCAATTAGTTTTTGTGTATGGTATGAATCTTGTTTAATTTTTCTGCATATGGCAATATACTTTTGCTAGCACCTATTTGTTCAAGAGACTTTTGCTTTTCCAGTGAATGGATTTGGGTTGTTTGTAGATCAGTTGACAATAAATGTTTGGGCTTATTTGTGGTGTTTCAATTCTATTCCATTGGTCTATGTATCTCTCATTAAACCAGTTACACGCTATTTGACTAATGTAACTGCTGAACATGTTTTGAAATCAGGGTTATAAGGCCTCTTACTTTCTTCTTCAAAATTGCTTTGGCTATTCAGGGTCCCTTCCCTTTCCATTTAAAATTGAAGATTAGATTTTCCATTTCTCTATCCAGGGATTTTAAAGCAAGTCTTCACATAATCTTTGATATGCTGAAAAATTACTCTTTCTCCAAGTTTTTTCTGAGTTTGTCATGATCCGTTAATTTACCTATGCGTGTTATTTTGTTTTAGCTGTAATTCAACCTCTAGAAAACTGTCAAGGAAGAATTGAAGAAGCTTCTCTACTGAAGATCTGGGAAGGTCACACAGCTATACTGTCACCCAGATACTACAGAAGCAAAATAAAATAAAAACTTGGGATTAAAAAAAAAAAAAAAAAAAGAATGATTATTGGGCAATTAGAACTACATAAAAAAACTACTTGCTTTCTTAAAATAGAACCATTTTTATGTGTAACCTTACCTTCTTAAATAAAAATTACTTAACGACCAAATTTTCTTTTTCCTCATGAAAATTTAGGTACCTCAAGGGTAGAACAATGTTACAAAATAAATAAGGTTTCAACAAATTGTTTCAGACCTGTCTTCAACTGATAAACTCCACCACCACTGGATAGCACTGAATGTGTAGAAGGAATGAGGACTTTTAACTTCTAAAACAGCACATCCTTATCTTCAATTAAGAAATCAATGACAAATTGTAATAAGCTTCTCTGGGAACTCTGAAAAAAAAAACAGTGTTTCTATTTATTTTTATTTTCTATGCCTCTTCATTCTTGGTTTAAATATTCCTGAGATAATATGGGAAACTAAAAAAGATGTGGCTGAAGGTTTTCCTAAGTACACAGTGTCCACTGGGTCTCTCTCCTGGATGAATTTCAAGATAGTTCAGACAGTATGCAGGTCAATATCTAATATGACTCTCAGATGACAAGTAACTTATCTGTGAAAGAACATTTTCTCACAGGGATGAGACATGTGAGATTTCCCTTTGGCATGAATGAACAGATGCTGAGTAAGATGGTTCCTCTGGCCAACGATTTTCCTCAGTAGTTACATTTAAAGAGTCCGTTCCCAGTAGCAAACCTTGGCTGCTGACTGAGTTTTGCCCACTGGTAAAGGATTTTCCCACATCTGTCACACTGACAGGGCTCCTCCCTGTATGAGTCCTCTGGTGCTGAGTAAGGTGCGCCTTTCGGTTGAATGCCTTCCCACACTCAATGCACTCATAGGGCTTCTCTCCTGTGTGGATGCTGTAGTGTCGAAACAAGGCTGGCCGATCACGAAAGGCTTTCCCACACTCCTTGCATTCATAGGGTTTTTCTCCTGTGTGGCTCCTCTTATGCAAGACAAAAGTGGAGAGGTGGGCAAAGGTCTTTCCACATTCACTGCACTCATAAGGCTTCTCCCCAGTGTGAATACGCTGGTGCTGCGTAAGATGTGCCCTTTGGTTGAAGGCCTTCCCACACTCACTGCACTGATAGGGCTTCTCCCCAGTGTGAATCCGCTGGTGCTGTGCAAGATATGACCTGTAGTTGAAGGCTTTCCCACACTCAATGCATTCATAGTGTTTCTTCTCACTATGAAGCCGCTGGTGCCGTGTAATTTGTGACCGGTGGTTGAAGGCCTTTCCACACTCACTGCACTCATAGGGCTTCCCTCCAGTGTGGATGGTGTAGTGTCGAAGGAAGCCTGGCCGATCACGAAAGGCTTTCCCACACTCCTTGCACACAAAGGGTTTTTCTCCTGTGTGGCTCCTCTTATGCAAGATAAACGTGGAGTGGTGGGTGAAGGCTTTCCCACATTCACTGCACTCAAAGGGCTTCTCCCCGGTGTGAATCCGCTGGTGCTGAGTTAGGTGTGCCCTCTGGGTGAAGGCCTTCCCACACTCTGTGCACTGATAGGGCTTCTCCCCAGTGTGGATGATGTGATGTTGAAGGAGGGTTGTGCTCTTGCTGAAAGTTTTCCCACACTCTGTGCACTCAAAGGGCTTCACTCCAGAGTGAACCTGCTCATGTTGAGTAAGGAGGTGCCTCTGGTTAAACACTTTCCCACATTCTCTGCATACAAAGGGATGTCTCTCTTCATGAGTCATGGCATGTATACCTGGTCCATATGAGTCACTGTCATCAACAGCATCTCCTAAAGAGACTTGCTCGTGTGTAACCTTTGAACACGCACCATAATCTGCCCCCAAAACATTGTAGTCAGTGCACATTTTCTCAGGGAGATGCTCCTTCTGGGGGGCTACCTCTGGTTTCAAGAATTGGTCCTGCATTTCTGGGAGCCCCTCCTGATCCGTGTGCTAATCCAGCTGGGAGTCTCTGGAGGCTGCCTGTGTCAGCTGTCCCTGGACTGAGGTTCCCTCAGACAAGATCGACTCAAGAACAGTTGGTCCTGTGGTTTCTAGTTCTGCTTTGTCCCTTGAAAGACATCAAACACAAAATGACCTATTAGTAATGCCAAATAGAACCAACCCACTACCCCAGTGAGAACATGAAAGTAGTACCTCTGTGCCTGCCATGTTTTGACATGTCTGAACCACAGGTTTCCTAGCTTTTGCTTTCCTGATTCTTGCCTCTTTCCCAACTTGGAAAGGAGACTAGGGGGATGTGAAGAAACAGAAAAGTGTGCTCCTCACAGTTCACACCAGGTAAGGGTAGACAGAGAGATAATGACAGTATGTGTGGAGTTTGCGCTCAGCAAGGACATCTTCTGGTTTCATGGGAGCATAAGGAAGAAGAAATTATTTTGGATCAGATATTAGAGAGAAAGAGATCAGGGGACACGTCCCAGAGGAGGTGTCCCACAAGGAATATCCTCATGGAGAGGGACGGGTTGCTAGATTAAGAGTGGGAAGGGTACTGCAGCCTTAGCAGAAACAAGATAAAAAGATGCAGAGTTTTCAGAGAAAGCAGGGAACAGACACGCAAGAAAGGGAGGTACTGCTGAGAAAGCAGAGAGGGGCAGGGTAGAGGGGAGGCTGATTCCCAAGGCTCTGATGAGTAAGGTGGGGGTGGCCACTTCCACTCCCAGGACAGGGCTTGTAAGGTAGAAGTGAACAGGATCTGGGAAGACATATTGATTCCAGTATGTCTGATGAACAACGACCAGCAAAACAGATACCATCTAGATAAGTAAAACCATAACAAATTACTTAGAGAGTTTAAAAAACATACAAATGAAGAACACAGTGATATAAAGGGATGATTTTAGCCAAATCAACACATAAATTCAGCACAACTTCATATATAATCCCAACTGCATTTATCCTGGAACTTAATAAGCTGATTTTATAATTTATATAAGAGACAACATGGCCAAAATTATCCCTGAGGAAGAATTTGGAGGAGGACTTACCGTATCAAGAAATAGAACTTTAATGCAGTTATGTGGATGAAGGCATTGTGGCACCGGCAGTTAAGACAAACTGGCAATGAGAAAGAAGAGTAAACTCAACAACAGACTCACATACCTCACCACCACCACCTACCGCCACTGAGGTGATTCTGACTCATAGCAACTCTACAGGACAGAGCAGATCTGCTCATAGGGTTTCCATGGCCATAAATCTTTACAGCAGCAGACTGTCTCATCCTTCTTCCACAGAATGGCTTATGGGTTCAAATCACTGATGTTTTTGGTTAGCAGCCAAATGCTTTAACTATTGTGCCACCAGAGCCCCTCTCAAACACATAGAGCTCTGATATATGGCACACGAGGCAGAGCAGCTCAGTGGTGGAAAATGATCTCCTCCTTCCAGAAGGTGTTTTCTAATGGATCTAAGTCAGTGGGTATCCATCTGCTTGTGCATCAAAGTCACCTGGGGCTGCCTGGTCCCACAAAACAAATGAAAGCAAATCTCTGAGGGAGAAGTCTGGAGATCAGCAGACTTTCAAACTCCTCAGAAGCCTGAAGCATCCTATGACTTTTGGGAGAGAAGCCACTAAAGGACACAGACCAAGGACAGGAAACACAGAAACCGAAACCTGGGTTGTCATCCATCAACTCAGAAGCCAGCTCCACCCCAGGCATCTCATAAGGTGAGATAACACATTTCCTTAAGGGTGGAGCCCCTGTTTGAACTAGTCTTCTGTTAGATGCAGCCCAATATGTGTTAAAAGATGTGAGGGTAAAAGACTAGCACTGTGCCAAGAAGTCAATGGCAGAGGTACAGGACCAAAAGAAGGCCCAACTGGCAGAACCTGAGCCAAGTTCAGTAAAAACATAGTTTGGGAAGCACTGAGTTTCTGCTGATGGGGATGGCAAATGTGGCTACAGATATTGGTGATAGATTTCTAACACCACTAATGTAACTGATGCCACTAAAGTGCACAAGTAAAAAATAGCAAAATGGGAAATGGTATATGAATTTTTAGAATAATTTAAAAAGTGTGAAAAAAAAAAAAAAAAAAACATTTCAAGACTAAGGCCCCTGATATGACTAAAAGGTCTGGTTAAGGTCAAAGCTGACTCCCTCATCCTAAAGGACTCCACTTTGTACTTTTCTGTCATACAATACAGACTGTCACTTCAATAAAAATTTCTACTGTATCTTCAACCTAAACACAAGCAATTTCTACCAAAAAAAAAAAAAAAAAAAAAGCAATTTTACCCCCCTACTCTACTTACAGGTGAGCTTGTAGTTAGAAATGGCCAATGTTAAAAGAAGATTTATCTACCACTCTTTTCCAAGAAACTCTGGTGATATAGCGGTTAAGACATTTGGCTGCTAACCAACAGGTTGGTGGTTGGAACCCACCAGCCACTCTGCAGAAGGAAGATGAGGCAGTCTGCTTCCATAAAGATTTACAGTCTTGGAAATCCAATGGGAGTTGCTAAGGGTCAGACATGGCAATGAGTTTGGTCTGGTTTCTTATTACTCTTTTCCAGCCTTGCTTTCTCTCTTCTCACTGAAAAAGAACCTAATCCAATTCTCTAGACATTTACTCATCACTTAGATATGGTTAGGTTCCAAAAACGAGGTCCTTATGCAAAAATGAAGGATGGCCAAATCAGAAAACAAAATGAGGATGATTATATCATTATATGATTGCCATCTACTAAGAATCATGACCCAACCATCACAGTGAGCATTACTCTCACCCTGCACCTCGGCATTCATGACCACCAGGTGTATGTTACCACCAGACATATATCATTAATGGTGCAAAAGAGTCGGATAGCAGATCTTTTATTATGGCCGTCAGTGAGAAATCGCTGATAACAAGATATTTAGTAAGTGAGAAGTAGATGGAGGCATGTCTTACCCTTAGCTGAGTGTGGAGAATCGAGTCCTTTATGTAGCTTCTGCCTTGGTTCTTTGGAAAAACAGCTTGAGAGATTTTTCCCCTAAGCCCTGAGAGAGTCTGTTACTTTTGTCCCAGTTGATTGACTTTTCCTGAGTATATTATAAACAACTTGTGGATTGATGCCGTTTATTTGGCTTTGGGTTGCAGCCTGCTCCAAGATGATAATGCACCTTACGGAGAATTGGTCAGGATAATATAGAAAAGAAATGACTGTAGACTATGTAAATAAAGTGAATATAGCCTACTATGCAAATGAACTATGTGTGTCCTACTGAGAGGGGAGCAGGGATCGGTCAGTTTGTGGCCCTGGTGGGAGGGCCACACAATGAAATCGAGGAAGAGTTTACTTATATATGCAGTCAAGTCCACAGAGGTTGGCTGACTAAAAGAAGAAAGAAGGTACACAGAAGCAGAAGAGAAAAGCAGCAGAGAAAGTGGAGGAAAGAAACTCCTAAAAGAGCTATCACACAGGTCAAGGGCTGTGACACTGAAGATGGTCAAAGGCACAGAAAGAGCCCTGCAGCAGAGTCAGTAGTGAAAGCAGAAACCTGTGCTAGCCACACAGCTAAGGGAGCTGAACAAAACTGCTACACTGGCTGTGAGCTGGATCAGGTAGCAGTGGAGAGGCTGATAGCAGCAAGGCTGAGGCAGGGAGGCCTGTCCTCAGGGCACTAACAGGTAGACTGTCCTGAGGGGGCCAAGAAAAGCCTGCACTCAAGAGGCCAAAGAGGCCTGCTCTGAAAGAGCTGAGAGTGGGCATACGTGGCAAAGAGAAGGGCCTACTCATTTGCAGGGCTGAGAATGCTATCCTGAACTAAAGAAGGAAGGGAAGACACAACTTCAGAGAAGCTTTCCCGACTTTGCGTACATGCATCCTGATCCTGATTCCAAGCTGTGCCCTCTAACTCCCTTAAAAAACCAATCAACTACGGTTTGTGCAGCCACTGCAACAAATCATCAAATGCAGCAGAAAAATAAGACAGTGCTATGGAGGAGGGCAGCTGGTAACAGAACTGGTAAAAAGTTGGAATGTGGAGGTATGTCTGACCTCCATCTCACAGGAATCAGCTTTGGGCTGATTATGCCCCCTAAAGTCAGACAGATTCTGATGTAGTTCCTACTAACACTTTACACCAAATTTCAAGAAATGCCCTAAATTTCTTTCACCAAAATTGAATGGTCTACATTGGTGCAGTATAGTAAATTAATTAACACAGTCCTTATACCAAGTCTTTGTAACTTCCAGTGAATTTTTAAGACTATGCAAATGAGGTGCTCGTAGCCATGAAGAGGAATGGATAGCTTGTTAATAATGCAAGAAAGGTGCAAGGCACTATTACAGGGGGGAAACCATATAAATGTACTGTATGGAACACTAATGAGGAGATTGGTTAGTCTGGCCATCCTGCTAGGCTTAAAATGAGCCAACCCAGAGGTGGAGAGGAGGACCTCAGGCCCAACAAGGGAAGACTGGAATGGAGCACATCCAGTGCACTCCAGGTCCGTGCTCTGAGAGCCTTTTTGACCCAGGAGACAGAGACAGTGGCAGCAAAACCAGGAGGGAAGAGTAGGTGTCATGGTGGGCTTCCCAGCCCACAGAGTGAGAAAGCTGAGCAACTCTGGGCAGGGTACTTGCTACCAGGAGTAGGGCACTTGTTGGAGCTAGGTTTGCCAACCATGGAACTATAGCTGAGCACCTTCAGAGCGAGGCTTACCGCCAGAATGAGGTGCTATGGACACTCATCTGCAAAGCTAACAGAGCTCTGTAACACTTGCCTGATCAGGGCAAAGGCCAGGCTAAGGGGCTGAGGGCCAGAGACAGACCTGAATGCAGACGTAGTTGAGGGAGGTTGTCCTGCTCAAAGACCTGTATCCTGATTCCTTCCTCATCCTGAATTGTAACCTATAAAGACCCTAACTGTGAGTATCGTCCATGAATTCCATGTGGCCACTGCAGTGAGTTATCAAATTCAGTACAGTGCATTGGAAGGACAGGTGGTACAAGAATAGGTAAAAGTTTGGAGAGTGGAGGTATGTCTGACCTTCCCCTCAAAGGAATCCACCTTGTGCTGTTGATCTTGACTCTCCTTCCCCTTGTGAGGTTAGAGGAGGTCACAAGCCCCCTTGCTGTGCTAGTATTAAAATTAGGAATCATATTACAGTAGAGAAATGTCTATTTTCAGGTTTCCCAACCTCACCTTTTGTGATGTTTTCAAGTATTATTGGTTGAGAGGACTGTCATGAGTAGTGTAGGATAGTGAACAGCACCCTGGCCTCTCCCTTAGAGGTTAGTAGAATCCCCTCCAGATGTGAAAATAACAAATACATTCATAATGAAGAAGTGAGACCTTATCCAGCGAGACCAGAAGCCCGCAGGTCTCCAGAATGACCTCCAAGTACAGGGTGCTCTGGGTCAGTTCCAGCTGCCCCACTCCTACCAACTGGAGGGCAGGGACACTTCCTCAAAAGTCACAGATACTGCCAAGTTAAATAGAGATATTACTGTTGGTCTTAAGCCTGCTAGATGGGACATGAGATAGTCTCTGAGTCAATTATCAAGGTGCAGAAAGACTGAAGCCCCAAATCTCACAGACCTAAGGGCCTAGCTCAGTTCTGGGATCGCAATGAGTCAGAATCAACCCAACGGCACACAAAAACAGGGTAGGAGAAATAAGCATCCTACATGGAAAGTCATTAAGAGAACTTGACAGCAAGCAATGTGAGATGTCAGAGAAAAAGGGTGATGATTACAACAACAACAACAGCATGGTAACAACTGCAGCAACTGAGACCAACCAGTTCTGCTTTCTTCCATGGAGCTGCTGGTAAGTTCAGACTGCCAACCTTTAGGTTAACAGATGAGCACAAAATATTTGCATAACCCGGGGAGCCCAAGCTTCTAGGAAAGGACTCTCAAGAGAGATGACATCTCAGCAGTAGCCAGAAGGATGAGAGGGGAGGCTCTGCAGAGATACGGGGACAATGTGTGAAGCAGAGGGAACTTCAAGGGCAAAGGCTGGCAGACTGACAAGAACTTAAAATGGTGAAGTTGATGAGTCTGGGGAACATTAAGAAGAGAAGAAAGGAAGGTGTTGAAATCAGAAGTAGTAGGCCAAGACAGTTGGGTAGGGGGCTTGCAGGCCATGGTGGTGGGTTGGATTCATTTTAAGTATCAAGATAGCCCCTGGAGGGCGCACTACTCATACTACAAGCACTGACTGGAGCACCTGTCAGAGGTAAGGCATTCCTCTGTTGTTAGGTGGTATCAAGTCAATTCTAACCCATAGCAACCCAATGTGAGAGCAGAATTGCCCCACTGGGTTTTCTATGCTGTAATCTATACAATCAACACCAATAGAAGCAGTAGTCAAGATATCAGATGATGTAAAGCTCTTCAAGTGCTAAAAAGCAAAGATGTCTCCTTGAGAACTAATGTGCACCTGACACAGGCCATGATATTTTCAGTCACCTCATATGCATGTGAGAGCTGGACAATGAATAAGGAAGACCCAAGAAGAGTGGATGCTTTTGAGTTGTGGTGCTGGTAAAGAATGCTGAAAGGACCATGGACTGCTAAAAGAACTAACAGATCTGGACTGCTAAAAGAACTAACAGATCTGTCTTGGAGGAAGTGCAGCCGCAATGCTCCTTGGAAGAATGGCCAGACTTTGTCTAACCTATTTTGGTCATGTTGTGAGAAGAGACCATTACCTGGAGAAGGATATCATGCTTGGTAAAGTGGAAGGTCAACAAAAGAGGGGAAGGCCCTCAACAAGATGGAATGACATAGCAGTTACAGTTAAAGAGTTCAGGTATCACCAGGATCGTGGAGCTGCCACAGGACCGGGCAGTGTTTCGTTCTTCTGTACACAGGGTTGTTAGAAGTTGGAGACGACTCAATGGCACCTAACAACAAATACCAAAGGAGCTCTGGTGGTGGAGTGGTTAAAGCATCTGGCTGCTAACCAAAAGGCTAGCCACTCCACGGAAGAGAGATGAAGCAGTCTGCTTCTATAAAGACTTACAGCCTTGGAAAACCAACGGGGTTGGCTATGAGTTGGAACTGACTCGGTAGCAGTGAGTTTGGTTTTAATCTATACCGGGATGTATCGTCAGGTCTTTCTTCGTGGAGCTGCTGGTTGGGATGGAACCACAGACCTATCTGTTAGGTGATGAACGCTGGACCATTGCTTAACCATGGCTCCTAGACACTCCTCTAAGCCTGCGGACAAAGCAAACGGCCAGCCGGCGCCAGCTGCCGGGAACAAACAGCTGCAACGAGAAATCCAGCGACTTCCTCGGCTTCCGGCCCACCGGCCAGGAGCCCTCTGCGACCGAGCAGCGGAGCAGCAATTCCAAGCCCACCCCCCACTCACCTGCGCCCGGTCCCTCAGCGCCGCCGCCATTGGGGGACCCTGTGGACAAAGCGGCAACGCTGGAGAGGCTGGCGACGGCCGGACCCCGCGGGCTCTCCTGTAGAAACGGGGTGACCTCGGTCGACTCCCACTGTGGGCCTCAGTATCCCGGTGCGGTGTCAAAGGGCAGAAGGCCCAAGGCGCCGCCTCCAGGGCTGCGGGAACGGCGGGCAGGGGCGGCGGCAACAGGGAGCCCGAGGACCCAGTGGGGTGGGGTGGGGACCCAGGGGACACCCCAGTTACAGGGGGTCACAGCTCCTACAAAGACGCGTAGGAGAGTATTCACAAACCCGAGCAGGAAAACTCTGAACTAACAACGCTCCAAACCAAGCCTCCGGCTTGGCGAAAAACGTCGCTCACAAGTGACGTAAGCACTAAAAGGTCGGAAGTCTCGCCCACAAGCAGCGGTCTCGCAGGAAACACTTCTATGCCGGGCCGACGCTTGGCAAGCACCCTGCGGCGACGCACGATGGCTTCTGGGCAACGTAGGCGTTTCCCGGCATCCAATCTAGAGTAGGGCGTCTCATCAAGTGTTTCTTCTTCAGGTAAAATCGAGGCCCAGAGCCCCGCCGCCGACCCACCTACTGGCGGTGGGCACAGCGAGGCGAAAGAAGGGCGAATAGGAAGCCGTTATTGTAACTCGAGGAAACTGAGGAAAGGGAGGAGAGGACATTTGCCAGGTCCCTGGGCAAGTGCGAAGGCGCGGAACCAGGCCCTCGCTCGACCCTAGACTTCTCCGATCCCTCTCGTGCTGGACACGAATAGAGGAGTACCTAAAATAACTAACCGAAGGAGGACTCCGGAAGTCCAGCATAGACCGTTTCACTCGCTCGGTACCGGCCGCCCAGGGGCTTTGGCTGTATACCAAATTTGGATGGTGCCCAAGCTCCTGGGTAATTTCTTTGTCGAACAGCAGGAAAGTGGATTTGCCGTCTTTGCGAGGAGGCAGTAAGTTCGGGCGGCTTGGAGAAAAAAACAGGACCCCAGTTTCGAACGTGGTTAGTTTGAAATGTTGGTGAGATCCAAAACTAACGACGTCACTCACTGCTTCCTACATTATGGGTGAACGTCTGGAGAAAGCTCTGCTTTGGAGGCATAAACATGAGAGTTGTAAGCTTACATTTTTATTTTTCTGGATGAGATCATTAAAGGAATGAATGTAGATGGAGAATGGAATTGACGAAAGAATCTACCTTGGACCAGCACAACATTAAATGGCTGTGGACAAAAAACCAACAAACTCATGTTAAGAATTCTGCCAATCATCCCAGATATATACTATGGAAACACTTATAAATTAGGATGTTAAAGGAGTTCTGGTGGCATAGTGCCTAAGGCATTTGACTGCTAACCAGAAGGTTGGCAATTCAAACCCACCAGCCACTTTGCAGAAGGAAGATTGGGCAATCTACTTTTGTAAAGAGTTACCACCTCAGAAAACCATATGGGGTTGCAATGAATCAGAATCGACTCCATGACAGTGAGTTTGTTTTTTTTTTTGTTGTTGTTGTTTTATTGGATGTTAAGAAATTTGTTTTTCTGACTGAATAACTCTGAAGGTTTTGAGCCCTAGCTAGAGAATTAAGGACTCTGCATCAGATGCATAGAGAAATGAAAATCCAGACTCATTGACAGAAAGGACAGTTGCTGGTGTAGGCCCTTTAATACCTTTTCTAATACCTGTTTTTCCTTTCTTTCATTATCTACACCTAACTTCTCTCCCAACTGCCCCCAAACCCTCCCATTGTTTCCACTTTAAACATTTTTCTCTGTGGTCCGATGCAAGTATACAACTTAAAGCTTCCACCCAGTGCTAACTGGTGCCTTTGCCCAGGTCTTCCTTCACCTTCTGAGAATTGAAAGTGTCAGGGCCATAATAAAAGTGATGGACTGAGGCAGATATAAAAAGGAACAACTGACAGAAAAAGAAGAGAGCCACTTTTCTGAAGGCAAGGAGCTCTGGTGGTATAATGTTAAAGCATTAGGCTACTAACCAAAAGGTCTTTGGTTCAAACCCACCAGCCACTCCATGGGAGAAAGATGAGGCAGCCTGCTTCCATAAAGATTTCCAGTCTTGGAAACCCTATGGGGCAGTTCTACCCTGACCTATAGTGTTGCTTATGAGTTGGAATCAACTTGATGGCAGTAGGTTTGTTTTCTTTCTTTGTTCAGGGGTAGGGGAAGTATAGTCAGGGATCCTGACCATATTGCACTTCACTCTACCTTCTGTCTGCCCCATTTCACTTCAAAAGGCCATGCCAGGGTCAGTACAGTAGCTCGCCACTCCCCCCAGTTTGCTCTTTTCATCCCTTCTTGGATTATACTCCCAGTTCCCTTCCTCTTTCAGGAAAAAAATGAAATGCATTCATATGGTTGGGATGCTGGGCTGGTTTTGCTCCTCATCAGCTGTTGAAGTCCTCACTCTTTGCACCTGTGAACTAGACATGGTTTTGAAATTTGGTCTTTAAAGATGCTACATAATTCCAGACTTCCCTGACCAGACATCAGCAAAGAACTAAATGAACCATGGTTACTGTCTCACCCATACATACTTGCATGTACATATGTTGGTTTACCTATTAAAATTTTCAGTCACTTTAGTTGATGGCAGTGAGTTTGGTTTTTTGGTTTTTACTTATGAAAAACTTATGTATAATTATTATTTTTAATGATACTGCATTTTCAGTGAAATCTTACGCAGCAGTTTCAGTTCTTATTCAAGAATTTCTACAAAATTGTTCCATGGTATTGGTTAGATTATTCACAATGGGTGATTTTTCTCATTTCTATTCTCGTTGTTCCATCTCCAAACATCTCCTTGCACCCTCACAGTCTCATTTTTGTTTTAAAGTAATTGACCTTACAGGTGACATTATTTTATTTTTTATTGTTACTTGGGTGAAAGTTTACCAAGCAAATTCATTTCTCATACAGCAGTTCATTTATACTTTGTCTCGTGACATTGACAGCAATTTCCCACAGTGCAACAGCTCTCTCCCACTTCTCCCCATAGTTACCTCTTCCCTATTTCCTTCTGTACCATGTACTCCTGCCCCTGAGCTGTCTCCCTGTGCATACACAACCCATCTGTTCTCCCTTGATTGATCTCTCCAAGGAGTGTATTTACCTAATGTAAATGTTCAGCTCATATGCCTGTCAGGTGACATTATTTTGTGAACCAACCTGTTATTTAGCTATAAGGTGACATCGGGTTGAACCAAAGCTAGGTGCAAAATCTGAAGAGTATCCCAAGGAAAGTCTTCCTGTCTCAAACAGTACAGTAAGTCAAGTTTGTTTTTATGTTTTTTTTTTTAGGAATTTGAGATTCAGTTCCACATTTCTCTTCCACTCTGTCAGGGTCTATCTATTGTGGCCCTGATTAGAAAGGCCAGTAGTGGTAGGCATGCACCATCGAGTTATTATGGTCTCAGAGCATAGCAGGCTGTTCATGTAGACTGTTAGTCCTGTAGACTAGTTCTGTAAGTCTTTGGTTTTATATGTCACTCTAGACACAGAGAGACCAATAGTTGTATCTTACATGGCCACTTACAAGCTTTTAAGACCCCAGACATTACTCACCAACCTAGGGTATAGAACATACCTTTATATGGTATATTATGCTCATTGACTGAGATGTGCCACAAGATTATAGTCTTATTCTTCAAGCTAAGAAATCCAATCTGGCATCATGTTTGGTTATGTCTAAGAATTATCTGTGACTGTGCCCCCTTTGTGCTTTATATATATGAATACGTGCACATACATACACACAGGAAGGAAGCAGGAGCTGGCAGACAGCCAGAACAGGTAAGGGGAGAAACCAAGCAGGAAGCGGGAGCCAGCAGATGGCCAAAACAGGTAGGGTGGAGGCCAGGAAGTGAGTGGAGCAGTTTGAAACAGCTAAGGGAGACAAACTTTTCTGTCATTTTGCCATACTCTGGTGACTTGTGTGTTACTATAAGGCTGGAGGCTATGCCACTGATGTTTCAAATGCCAACAGGATTATCCATGGTGGACAGATAGCAGCGGAGCTTTCAGACTAAGATAGGCTTGGAAGAAGGAAGAAGTCATCCACTTCTCAAAGAATTGGCCAGGAAAACTTTATGAACAGTGAAACACTGTGATATATTACTGGAAAACTTAATGAATAGCCCTGAAACATTGTCTGATATAGTGTCAGAACATCAGACCCTCAGATTGGAAGGCACTCAAAATACAGCTGGGGAAGAGCAGCCTCATCAGAGTAGAGCTGACCTTAATGATATGGATGGAGTAGAGCTTTTGGGACCTCCAACTGCTGATGTGGCATGACTCAAAATAAGAAGAAGGAGCTGCAAACATCCATTAATAATTGGAACATGAAATGTATGAAGTATGAATCTAGAAAAATTAGAAGGTGTCAAAAATTAAACGGAATGCATAAAAATTGATATCCTAGGCATGAGTGAGCTGAAATGACCGGTTTTGGCCATTTTGAATCAGACAACCAAATGATCTACTATGCTGGGAATGATGAATTGAAGAGGAAGGGCATGGCATTCATCATCACAAAGAATGTTTCAAGATCTATCCTGAAGTACAGTGCTTTCAGTGACAGGATAATATCTATACACCTATGAGCAAGATCAGTTAATATTACTATTATTCAAATTTACGCACCAACCACCAAAGTCAAAGATGAGGAAATTGAAGATTCTTACCAACTTCTGGGGTCTGAAACTGACCGAATATCCAATCAAGATGTGCTCATTATCATTGGCGATTGGGATGCAAAAGTTGGAAACAAACAAGAATCACTAGTAGTTGGAAATTTTGGCCTTGGAGATAGAAATAACTCTGGAGATTGCATGATAGAATTTTGCATTACCAATGACTTATTCATTACAAATACCTGTTTTCAACAACAAAAATGGCAGCTATACATACGGACTTCACTAAATGGAGTACACAGAAATCAGACTGATGACATCAGTGGCAAAAGGCGATGGAGAAACTCAATATATTCAGCCAGAACAAGGCCAGGAGCTGATTGTGATGCAGACCATCAACTGATGATATGCAAGTTCAAGTTGAAGTTGAGGACAATTGATACAAGTCCACAAGAGCCAAAATATGACCTTGATTATATCCCTCCTGAATTTAGAGACTATCTAAAGAATAGATTTGCTGCATTGAATACAAATGACCAAAAACCAGAGGAATTGTGGGATGACATTAAGAACATCATCCATGAAAAAAGCAAAAGGTCATTAAAAAGACAGGAAAGGAAGAAAAGATCAAAATGAAAGTCAGAAAAGACTCCAGAACTTGCCCTTGAGTGGAGAGTAGCTAAAGCAAATGGAAGAAATGACAAGATAAAAGAGCTGAACAGAAGATTTCAAAGAGCAGCTCAAGAAGACAAAGTCATTTATTATAATGAAATGTGCAAAGACATGGAGTTCAAAAGCCAAAAGGGAAGAACATGCTCATTTCTCAAGCGGAAACACAGCATTTGTCAAGCTACAAGAAGTGAAAAAAAAAGTTTAAGCCTCATGGTGTAATATTGAAAGACTGTATGGGCAATATATTGAATGATGCAAAAAACATCAAAAGAAGATGGAAGGAATACACAGAGTCACTGTACCAAAAAGAATTGGTTAATATTGATCCATTTTAGGTGGTAGCATATTATCAAGAACCAATGGTATTGAAAGAAGAAGTCAAAGCTGCAGTGAAGGAAGTGGTGAAAAACAAGGCTCCAGGAATTGATGGAATACCCATTGAGATGTTTCAACAAATGGATGTCTCACTGGAGGAACTAACTTGGCTATGTCAAGAGAGCTGGAAGACGGCTACCTGGCCAGCTGACTGGAAGAGATCCATATTTGTACCCATTCCAAACAAAGGTGATCCCACAGAATATAGAAATTATCAAACAATATCATTAATATCACATCCAAGTAAAATCTTACTGAAGATAATTAAAAAATGGTTGCAGCACTATATTGACAGAGAACTTTCAGAAATGCAAGCTGGATTCAGAAGAGGACATGGAATGAGGGATGTCATTGCTGATGTCAGATGGATATTGGCTCAAAGGAAACAACACCAGAAAGATGTTTACTTGTGTTTTATTGACTATGCAAAAGCATTCAATTGTGTGCATCATAACAAACTGTGGTAACATTTAGAAGAATGGAAATTCCAGAACACTTAATTGTACTTATGAGGAACCTGTACATAGAGCAGGAGGCTGTTTGAGCAGAACAAGGGGACACTGCATGGTTTAAAATCAAGGAGGGAGTGTGTCAGGGTTGTATCCTTTCACCATACTTATTCAATCAATATGCTGAGCAAATAATCCGAGAAGCTGGACTATACGAAGAACGTGGAGTCAGGATTGGAGGAAGACTCATTAACAACCTGTGATATGCTGATGACACAACTTTGCTTACTGAAAGTGAAGACTACTTGAAGCACTTACTGGTGAAGATTGAAGACTACAGTCTGCAGCATGGATTACACCTCAATGTAAAGAAAACAGAAATCCTCACAACTGGACCAATAAGGAGCATCTTGATAAATGAAGAAAAGACTGAAGTTGTCAAAGACTTCATATTATTTTGTTCTACAGTCAACACCAATGAAAGTTAGCAGTCAGGATATCAGACAACATATAGCATTGGGCAAGTCTGCTGCAAAAGACCTCCTTCAAGTTATGAAGAGCAGAGATATCTCCTTGAAGACTAAGGTGCGCTTGACACAAGCCAAGGTATTATCAATTGCCTCATATGCATGTGAGAGCTGGACAGTGTATAATGCAGACCGAAAAAGAGTTTATGCTTTTGAGTTGTGGTGTTGGCAAAAAATACTGAAAGTACCATGGACTGGTAAAAGAACTAACAAATCTGTCCTGGAAGAAATGCAGCCGGAATGCTCCTTGGAGGAGAGACTGGCCAGACTTCATCTCACCTCTGTTGGTCATGTTGTAAGAAGGGACCATTCCCTGGAGAAGGATGTCATGCTTGGTAAAGTGGAGGGCCAACAAAAAAGGGGAAGGCCCTCAATGAGATGGATTGACACAGTGACTGCAACAATGGGCTTAGGTACAGCAAAGATCATGGGGCTGGCACAGGACCGGGCATTGTTTCATTCTGTTGTGCACAGGGTCACTACGAGTCAGGGATGACTCAACAGCACCTAACAACAACAACAGAAATAGGCATGTCTTCCCCTTGGCCGATTTTCAAGGAATGCCCTTGATTTCCAACCCTGTCTTTGCTCCCAAGCGAATGGTCTCTGTTGGTTATCACCTTACGGCACAGAGTTGTCTGAGGTAAGGTTTCTCCACCTCAGCACGTTAGCAGTTGAGCTATTTTATTTCACCGTTTGTTGGGGGGTCATGCTGAGCAGTGTAGGATGTCGGGCCACATGTGGCCTCTCCCACTAGAAGCCAGGAGCATCCCCTGCAGGTATGAAAGTAAAAAATTCACTCATGGCAAGGACGTGAGGTCTTACCCAGTGAGACCAGGAGCCTGTAGGACCTCCAAGTATAAAGTCCTCTGGGTTTTGCCCAGCTGTCCCCATTCCTCCTGTGTGGAGGTCACAGCCACATCCCCAAAGGTCACAGACACCTGACAAGTCAAAGAAAGGCAGCAGTTTTGGTCCTGAGCTGGATGGGACAAGAGTCCATCTCTGTGTCGATGATAAAGGTGAAGAGACACTCAAGGCCCAAATCGCTCAACACTCTTGAGGGCCTAGCTCAGTGCTGGGATGCTGCTTTCAAGGGACTACAACAGAGAGAAAAGCTTCCAATATGGGAATTCATTAAGGAATGACACAGGATGGCAATCCCAGTGGACTGTGAGATTCAGACAGGAAGGATAAGGAGGACCGTTGATAGTAACAGGTGTACCAACAGTGGCAGCAACGGGCAACTGAGGCTCAACTGGCCCCGTGTCTGTGCTTTATATGCCATGATGGTGACGACAAGCCCCCAGCACCGAAGGTGTGAAGCCACACTCCTGGATCTGACAGTTGCCTGCTGAGTGACCTCAGGGCCTTCACTTCATTTCTCTGAGCCTCGTTTTCAGGATCAATACAGTAAGCGCTCCCACTTCACCAATGACAGTAGTGAAATTCAGAGACATCCGCCAGTGCTCCCAGGAGAGCTGCCTCGCAGGGTTCACCAGGCTGTGATCTTTGTGGGAGCAGATCGCCAGCTGTTTCTCCAGCGGAGCCGCTGGGCGACTTCAGCTGCCAATCTTTGGGTTGGCACCTGAGTGCTTTAACCGCTGCACAAGCGTGGCTCCGTGACACTCCAGGTCTGCGGATGAAGCAAACGGCCAGCCGGCGCCAGCCGCCGGGAACAAACAGCTGCAACGAGAAATCCAGCGACTCCCTCGGCTTCCGGCCCACCGGCCAGGAGCCCTCTCCGACCGAGCAGCGGAGCAGCAATTCCAAGCCCACCCTCCACTCACCTGCGCCCGGTCCCTCAGCGCCGCCGCCATTGGGGGACCCTGCGGACAAAGCGGCAACGCTGGAGAGGCTGGCGACGGCCGGACCCCGCGGGCTCCCCCGTCAGAAAATGGGTGACCTCGGCAGACTCGCACTCCGGGCCTCGGTCTCCCGGTGTCAAGGGGCAGAAGGCCCAGGGCGCCGTCTCCGGGGCTGCGGGAACGGCGGGCAGGGGCGGCGGCAACAGGAGCCCGAGGAACCAGTGGGGGGCCAGGGGACACCCCGTTCCAGGGGGTCACGGCTCCTACAAAGGCGCACTGGAGGGTGGTCTCAAAGAGCCGAGGACGGGAGCACTCCGGGCTCCACAGCCTGTGAGGGAAACCCGTCTCCCGTAGATGACGTTACCACTAACAGGAGACGGAAAAAACGCGCTGCCGTGGCGTGAGATCCGGTCCACAGTGACTCCTCCTTGGGACTCCAGGGCGGTGTCTCTGCTAAGTAGATGCCCAACTTTCCTTCCCCGGAGTGGCTGGTGCGTTTGAACCACCATTCTTCTGGTCAGCAGTCAAGTGCCTTAGGCACTGTGGTGCTTATGTTTGTGTGTCAACTTGGCTGGGCCTGGTTGAGTGGCTGGGCAGCTGGTGGTAGTTACTCCCCATGAGGAGACTGGCAATCAACTCCATGGTAGGATCTACCACAAGCAGCTGAGTAGCTGATTTGGGATGTGGTCTGCTTCCTGTATAGAAGCAGAAGCCTTGGGAATGGTCTCCAGCCTGTGGCACGCTTGGACCCCGCATGTAGCCGTGTCGTTGCTCAGCAGCCTGCCATGCTCTGCAGACCTTGGGACTTAAAATGGACTTAGGTTAATGGCCTGCCGTGTGGTTTGGTAACATCGGGACTGTGCCTTTTTACTTCTCAACCTTGGGGCTTCTCAGCCTTAGCAGCCAGCACCTGAGTGAAGAAACGCCTCTAGTGGGCCAGGAGCTGGAGGCAGAGCTGGACCCCAAGGCTGAGGGGTTTTCACTCAGCTCCTAGAGCCTAGCACTTTGAACTTGGACTTAAAGCCTCCAAACTGTAAGAGAATAAACTCCTGTTTGTTAAGGCCATCCCACTTGTGGTACATTCCTGTCAGGGCGGCACTAGGGAACCAGAACAGGCACTATGCCACCAGAACTCCCAAAAGGTGGGAAATCGCCTCGAATGCAGCAGTCGCTCAGAACGCCGCTCTCTGCTTGGCCGTCATTGGCCCAACGACTGACGCAGATGCATGAAGCCGAGCCTTCTGGGTGATGCAGTCTTTTCTCCGCATCTAGCCGGGCCTGGAGAAAGGAAGAAGTCGGCTTCCAAAAAGATCACAGCCTTGAAAACTGGGGCAGTTGAGCCCTGTCCTATATACTCGCTGAGTGGGAACGGACTCAGTAACAATGGGTTTTATCTCAGTGATCAGAATCCACTGAAACAGATGTTTTTTGTTTCTATCGATGGTTGGTACTTCTTCAGTGTCTTAGGTATCTAGTGCTGTAATTACAGAAGTACCACAAGTGGGTGTCTTTAACAAATTCATTTTCTCCCAGTTTAGGAAGCCAAAGTCTGAATTTAGAGCACCTGCCCTTCAAGAAGCCAGACTGTCTGTCAGCTCAGGGGAAAGTCCTTGTCTATCTTCTGTTCTTGGATCCTTGGTGATCTTCAAGTAGCAGGACATCTGTCTTAACTCATCTCTCCTTGCTTAATCTACATTCATAGCTCAAAAGAGATTGACCCGAGACACACTCTACACTAATACTACCTCATTGTCATACCAAGAATCCTTGAATAGCAAGGACCGGGTAGTGTTTCATTCTGCTGTACATGAGGTCGCCATGAGTCAGAGATGACTCAACAACACCTAACAACAAATATCATAACAAAGAAAACCCATTCACAAATGGGATTATAATTAGAGGTATAACCAAAAAACCAGACTCACTGCCATCAAATTGATTTTGACTCATAGTGACCCCCTTTGGGTTTCCAAGGCAATAAATCAATACAGAAGTAGATTGACCAGTTTTCCTTCCACTGAGGGGCTGATGGTTTGAACCATTAGCCTTCTGGTTAGTAGTCAATGCCTTAGGTACTATGGCACTAGAGCTCCTTAACCATAGGCATAGGAGTTAGAATTTACAACAGAGTTCTAGGAGACACACTTCAATCTTTAACGGTCAGTGTGGGACGCTGTGTTCTTTCACAGCTGACAGCATGAATATCCTTCACTTGAAACCCTTAGAAAAATGTTTATCTAGCTAAAGTATTGGCAAGGAAAACACATTTTTTTCAAAAAGCAAACCCTTGTATGTATGTATGTAACAAATTGCACTGTTAGTATTCTCCTCAGTGACACTTCAATATGAAAGGTGTCTTTTTCTCATTAAACTGTAATAATACACAAGCCCTTGTTAAAAGAAGGAAACTTGGTGGCACAACAGTTAAGCATTCAGCTGCTAACTGAAAGATAGATGGTTCAAACCCACCCAGAGGCTCTACAGAAGAAAGATGTGGCAATCTTCTCATAGAAAGATTACAACCTAAGATAGCCTATGGGATATTTCTACCCTGTCCCATGGAATCGCTATGAATTGAAAAATCAACTCAATGGCACCTAACAAGAACATTTAGAAGAAAAATATCCAACTGAAATAACCCACATTAACAGTTGTCACTCCAAAGCCACTCTGTTTTCCTTGTTCTCTTTTTGACTTCTCTCATGTGGGCACATGCGCTCACGTGGTGCTTTCCCATTGTAGTAACAGCCGTCATAGAGTCTGGTATTGAGTATAGCTTTTATAACTTCTTCTATATAATAAAAACTTTCCATGTGACTCCAGAGTTGTGAGATTTAGGCTTTTTCAAAACAGTGATTTATTCTATGTGGGAATAAAATTGTATTTCAATCTACTTCCAATGGATAAGCAATTTTCTCAGGGACTTCCAATAGTTTCATGGTACCAAACATGAGGAAATGGCAATTCTTTTACACTTGCATACTATTTCCTTTCAGCTCATTGGATCACTATGCCGAAATAGCCAGATTGAAGACAGTGAATTGGTGCAGCGTTGACCTGGGGGTGTTTTGCACTTAAGGAGCCTTTGTGTGGTCGAGTTTACATTCTGATCAACTGGATAGATGGGTTTCAGCTGAGTAGCAACTTGCTGCCCCCTCATTCTTTGCCTTCTTAGCAGGTGTTGTCATACACAAAAATTGATTTAATTGAGGTGTATCATTCTAGAACAGGGTTCTCAAACTCTGCTGTATACCAAAATCACATGGAGAGCTATGAACAGCAAAGCTTCAGCTCTACAAAGCAAGACAGGTCTTGGGTCTGTGTAAGAAGCTCTGGTGGTGCAGTGGTTAAACCATTCAGCTGCTAACCCTAAACAGAAGGTCAGTGGTTCAAACCCACCAGCTGCTCTGTGGGAGAAAGATAAGGCAGTCTGCTTCAGTGAAGATTTACAGCCTTGGAAACCCTATGGAGTATTTCTACCCTGACCTATAGGGTTGCTATGAGTTGGAACTGATGCGATGGCAGTGGTTTTGGTCTGGTTGGGCCTTTGAACTTTTACCAAGTTTTCCAAATGATTCTGAAATGGCTGCAGTTTGATAAACACTGTTCCAGGCATTGGTAAATTTCCAGTAAAGATGAGATAGCGAATAATCTCACCTATGTAGGCTATATTGTCTCTGCTGGAATGACTCAACTCTGCCTGTGCCATAGATAAAAATTGCACAAGCAAATGGGTGTGGCTATGTACAAATAAAGTATTATTTACAAAACAGGAAGAAGGCAGAGTAGCTTGTCAACTCTTAATTTATAGGATCCAAAAGTAATAATGAAGATGAGGTGACCTAATATATAGACAGCTTTTGAAACAGTCTCTGACCATAAACTGTCGATCACTGTTAGTGAAGTATCATACGTCCATGCATTTGCATATACACACACATACTGCACTTACACATATACACTGGTGGTTACAAGAGAAGCATTTAGTGAGTTCCTGACTTTCAGTCTTTTTCTTGACATGCTTTCCATAAGTTCATGAGAAAGCACAAGGCGGAGTGAGACCTGAAACCAGGACAAAAGAGGAAGAAAATCCTACTTTTTGAAGAAGATCCCCTCCTAGAAAAGAGACTTTTTGGAGGTAGGGAAATTCTTCTATAAGGTGGAACCCCAAAGGAGCACACTGAAGTCATAGCATGGTAGCTGTTTCAAAGAGGACAGGTCAGTTTCTTGTTGAGCATTTTATTTTCCCACCTAGGAGTTTGCTGACTGGGAGAGACCAGAATTCTCAAAGTTACATGGTACCAAACATTCTTAAATTTAAGAAGGGTAATAAAATATTTCTCAACCGGAATTGAAAAGGCACCAACTTTAAGAAAACAAAAGATGAAAATGAGCAATGAGCAAGTAACAGCATTTATCTGCAGAGTAGGTACTAGCTTTCAAGAAGAATGGGGAAGCCCCCAGCCCTGAAGGCCAGAAAGGGCATAATCTTGGCCATTGCCATGAAGAGAGTTTCCACAAACTAGTCTAGGGTCTTGAAAGCCTGCAAGTGGCTAAGATAGAACTGTTAGTTCCTACTCATATGGAGCAAAAGAGAAAGAAGAAAACCCAAGATTCAGAGAAGGAACTGGTCTACCAGATTGTGTACATGAACCTGTCCCAAGACCTGAAGAACTAGATGGTGCCCGCCTACCACTATGATACTTCTGATCAGGACCACAACAGACCCAAGCTCCAATTTCGGAAGACATTCAGACTTACTGAACTCACTGAGACAGGGGAATCCCTGAAACTATTACCCTGAGATAGTCTTTAAGCCCTGAACCAAAACTATCCCAAGTCACTTTTTTAGCTAAATAGCAGATGTGGTACAGTGAGTTACTTAATATGGCCCTTCTAGCCATTGTGTTTGTAACTCCATCCCAATGACTGGGTGGTACGATGCAAATGTGAGTGCTTGTGGCCTAACAAGGGGAACAGATAGCTTGTTAATAATATAAATAAGGTGTATGGGACCCTTGTGTGGGTGACACTATACAAATGCAACCCTAACAAGGGGTTGGTCAGTTTTGCCATCCTGCTAGACTTAAAATGAGCCATCCCAGAGGCAAGAAGGGGGGATCTGACTACCACCAAGAAAAGACAGGAGCAGAACACATCCATTCGATCTGGGATTCCTGCACTGGGCACTGCCTCAACCTAGGAGATAGACCTGTAACACTAGAGGGATGGTGAGAAGCCACAAGAGAGAAGTGGTAGCAGCAGAACTAGGAGACGGCATAGTGGACTTCTGGACCCATAGAGCAAGAACACTGAGCACCTGTGCAGGAGGCTTGCTGGCAGACTGGGTGCCTTTGGGCACTTACTGGCAGACCTTTGTAACACTTGCCCAGCAGAGCAGAGGCGAAGGGGCCACAGGGTGGGGAGGCTGATGGGCAGAGGGGCATGCCTATGGGCACTGCTGAGATGAGGCTTTCCTGATCAAAGAACTGTATCCTGAGTTATTTCTGGTCCTGAATTGTAATGCTACTTCCCTAATAAACCCCATATCATATTTTTTTGTGAGTTCTGTATGGCCATTGCAACAAATTGATCAAACCCAGAGAAGTATAAAGTGCCGCAAGAGGGATGGTTGGTGTCAGAATTGGTATAAAAAGAAGTAGGAAAAGGTAGGAAGCATGACCTCCGCCTCCTGGGAATTAGCCTTGGGCTGTTGATGCAGATGATTCCCTCTCCCTTGAGAAGTCAGAGGAGTTCAGATGCCTCCCCCACACCATCTCTACAGTAGGTCAGTTCATAAAAGTATTTAGTAACACCCTTGAGTTCTGCACTTGAAAAAAATCACCTCTCTGAAACCAAATGGTCAGCAAATACTCCAAAGCACAGCTGAGAATGTAGAGGGGTGATGTTAGACCAGGTTAACGGGCATAGAACAATTAAAAGTGATGAGAATGCTGAGAGAGTGGGGAGAATGTGATCAATGTCACTGAACATGTGTAGAAACTGTCGAATGGGAACCTGTTTCTGTATACACATCCACTCAAAATAAAACAACATACTCTTTTTTAAAAAAAAAACAAAATAATCTACTGGAAGATAGACAAACTCACACAACTATAAAAACCTGGTACAAAATGATTCAACTTTTATTAATTAGTACCTTACAGCATAAAAAATAAGAAACAAGAAGACAGTTGAGGCAGCAGAGCAGGCAAGCTCTTGGAACAAGCACAAAGGAGCAGGGCAGACAGGCTCAGGAAGCTGTCTGAGCAGAGGGAGGCAACACCCTGTGGGAGTGGGCCTGGACCCACGGGTGCTCCAGAACCTGGGCCAGGGGCAGCCGCTCCAAAGGCTGGTATCTGAGCAGCTTGGAGATGAGGTCCTGGGCTCCAGGAGGCATTGAGGGAGGAAAACGCATGTCCACCTGATGAGGCCAGGGAAGAAGAAAGGGAAGGCTGGTTAATTTCTTTGGTTCATCTTCTCTGTTCCTTGAGTCCATTCAGGGGACTGTGCTGGATGCCACTAGGGCACATTTGTGTGTCTGTGTCCCCTACATCCCAGGTCCAGCTGTCATTACCATCTGCTCCCCCTGGAACCCCCAGAAGGGGCCATCCCACCTTGAGGATGCGTCGGTAGGTCTCAGTATGTGAGAAGCTCTCAAAGGGTGGCATGCCCACCAGCAGCTCATAGCAGAGCACCCCAATGCACCAGAGATCCACTCTCTCATCATACGTTCTCCCCTCGATCATTTCTGGGGGCAAGTAGTCCAGAGTCCCACACATTGTCTTTCTCCTAGAGGAGGGCAAAGAAGGGCACACTGGGACCAACCATGTCGTGCAGATGCGGTACGTCACAAGAGGCCAAAAGTCCCGCCCCCATCCCCACAGTTGGCCTGGATGGGATCTGTGTCCCAGAGAAGGCGAGACTTGGACCCACCCATTCTCTATTTCAGAACTCATAATATCCTTAGCTTATGATCAAGATGTTTACACAAGAATATTCTAAGCATCAGGTAAACATTTTACAACAAACATGGTGCATCAAGAAAGGGTCATTAAATACATTACGGTTTATTCACATAATGAAATGCTCTCTAAGAATTATGGTTCTTTATTTGCATAAAAACTTATGGGTAAAGTTATATATTAAAACAGAAGGTATGATTGAGCCACACTCAAAATCTAAATACTTATTATCCAGTATCTAGAGAGGGACATCACGCTTGGTAGAGAATCAGCGAAAAACAGGAACACTTTCAAAAAGATCGTGTGGCACAGTGACTGCAACAATGGGCTCGAGCATAGCAATGGTTGTGCGGATAGCGCAGGACTGGGCAGTGGCAGTGTGTAGTTCTGCTCTTCGTAGGGTCACTATGAGTTGGAACTCATGTTAGGTGTGGTTGCACACCTAACAACATTGGGAAAAGGGGCTATTCAAACACAGACCCAGGAACTATGTCTAACTCTTACATGTGGGATAAATTAAACAGGATCTTTTCCAAGTGCCACCCAGGCTCAACCCCACAGCACCTACCTCAGAGAGAGAGTGTGCACAGACCAGCCAAAGTCTGCAATCTTCACCTCGCCCCGGAGCCCGAGCAGCAGGTTCTCTGGCTTAATATCCCTGTGAATCACCTTCTTCGCATGACAGTAGGTCAGGGCATCTGCCAGCTCCTCCATTATCTTGTAAGAAAATAAAAGGCCACTCATACAGGTACCCGCTCACCTGCACCTCACAGCCCGCAGCCCCCTCGCCTGACCGTGGCTGTGCGCTGCTCATCGAACTGGCGGCTCTTCTGTAGTTCCTTGTAGAGCTCGCCCCTCGGAGCATATTCCAGAACCAGGTACACTCGCCGTGGGTCATGGAAGTAGTTGTAGAGGCGCAGGATATTGGGGTGTCTAGAAGATGAAGGATTGCTCAGGCTCCTCCCTGGGGCCCGACCCATGCTGCTGTCCCGAGTGACTGGCCATACTTGGGGCAAAGTGTGCTGGGACCACACTAAGCAATGCCTGCCACTCTAGGAGCAGGCATCAGGGTGAGGGGGTCAGGCACAGGGTGGAGTGTTACGTGGTGTACCGACGCCGAACTGCAGGGAAGAAAGTCTTCAGGGTGCAAACACAGCCCTAGAGAGTTTGGAGGGAGTAACTTGGGGGAAAGCTGAGTGCAGACATCTAGGTGGAGGGAACAGTGGAACAAGTCTAGGCCTCACCCGAGGCAGTCCTTACTGTAGGTGGGCCTGGATCTCAACTTCCCTGCGCAGCTGATGCTCCAGCCCTTCCTTCTCCATCTGCGACTTGAAGAGGACCTTCAGGGCCACCAGGAAGTGGTTCTCCTTGAGCCGAGCCAGGTACACGTTGCCGAATTTCCCCTTGCCCAGAGGACGGCCAATTTCAAAGTCATCGATCCTTAAACGCCTCCTGCTGGGAAAGGAAGAGAAGAGCGCCCCTTCTGAAGAGAGGTGGGCGAGGGGCGGGCAGGGACGGCCAGCGCTCACCTTCAAGATACACCCGTGGCCGTGGAGTCAATGCCGACTCACGGCGCCTCTCACCCCCTAGCACGCCTTCATCCCTTCCTCCTCCGAAGTCAAGTACAAAGGCTCTCACATGGGTGCGAGGCTGGGCTGCTCTGGGTCCTCTGTAGTCAACGAGGGGAAATTAAAAAGGAGACGGTGAC